CCCCTCTCCCTGAAGGTTTTGGGTTCTCTGCACAGATCCATCCCTCCCTTGAGGGGTTTTGGTCACCCAACCCCTCTCCTTGCTGCTGGGTCTCACGTTGGTCATCTCCAACCTTCTGAAATTGGGATGGGAGGGGGCAATTCCCGCCCACCCCACTCATCCCCCTGATATGGGGGATTCCCATCCCTGAACTGCTGCTTCCTGAAGTTCTGTTGGAGCTCATCCCCATTCCCACCCCGCAGAGACGTGCTCCAGAACCTGAACTTCAACTCGTGGCGAGGAAGCTGCCAGAGGGGCGACGTCAAGGAAGGTACATGGAGATGCTGTGGTTGGTCAAGGAATTGTTGGATTCTCCAGGCTTTGGATAGGTTTGGATAGGTTTGGGTGGGTTTGGATGGATTTGGAAGGGTTTGGATGTGTTTGGATGGGTTTGGGTTGGTTTGGATGAGTTTGGGTGGGTTTGGAAGGGTTTGGATGGATTTGGAAGGGTTTGGATGGGTTTTGATGGATTTGGATGAGTTTGGGTGGGTTTGGATGGATTTGGATGGGTTTGGGTGGGTTTGGAAGGCTTTGGGTTGGTTTTGATGGATTTGGATGGGTTTGGATGTGTTTAGATGGGTTTGGGTTGGTTTTGATGGATTTGGATGGGTTTGGATGAGTTTGGACGGGTTTGGATGAATTTGGGTCGGTTTGAATGAGTTTGGATGGGTTTTGAAGGGTTTGGATGAGTTTGGGTGGGTTTAGGTTGGTTTTGATGGATTTGGATGGGTTTGGATGAGTTTTGATGGTTCTCAAAGGGTTTTAATGAGTTTGGATGGATTTGGAAGGGTTTGGATGGGTTTGGATGAATTTGGGTGGGTTTGAATGAGTTTGGATGGATTTGGAAGGGTTTATTGAGTTTGGATGGATTTGGATGGATTTGGATGGCTTTGGGTGGGTTTGGAAGGGTTTGGATGGATTTTGAAGGGTTTGGATGAGATTGGGTGGGTTTTAATGAGTTTGGATGGATTTGGAAGGGTTTGGATGAGTTTGGGTGGGTTTGAATGAGTTTGGATGGATTTGGAAGGGTTTGGATGAGTTTGGGTGGGTTTGGATGAACTTGGGCGGGTTTGGGTTGGTTTGGATGATTTTGGATGGGTCATCTATCTCGGCTTGAAAAGCCAGGAGTCTGCTGAGGAAGGCAGGAGCCTCCCCTGAGATGAAAAATGCAATCCCCCTCCCTCCGAGCTGTTACTAATTTAAAACTGACGGGCTCTCGGGCAAAGATACGGGAATAGGAATTACAGGGCAGAGCAGAAGTTTCAGGAGCCCTCTCAGGAGTCTCCGTGGCTTCCTCCACCCCACCCAAACCCCGCTAACGCCGCCTCTCCCCCGTCCCCGCAGACGACTTCCGCAACATCTCGGTGATGCCCCTCTCCCGCTACTACCTCAACTGCTCCATCGAGTCCCACTACGCCACCTACAACTGGTACCACGAGGACGTGCTCATCAAGAGCTGCAACACCTCCCGCCCGCAGCACGACTGCTTCCACTTCATCCCCAGCGTCCGGCGCGAGCACTACGGCCACTACGTCTGCGTGTCCGAGGAGGACGGCTTCCGCCAGGCGCTGGTCAAGGAGCGCCTGCTGGACCGCCAGCGCTTCTTGTCGCAGCGCGGCCGCGCTCCGGCCGCGCCGGCCTCGTGGTTCCGACCGCTGCTGGTGCTGGTGCTGGCCGAGCTCTTCCACTGATGCCGGCCCCGCCGCCGCCCGCGGTTCCTGCGGTTCCCTCGGACTTTCGGTGTCCCCACCGCTGGCCTCGCTGGAAGAGCCTCGGCAGGAGGGTGTGACACGCGGTGGCGGCCCCGCTGCCCAGCCATGCATGCGCTGATGCTCAGGGCGCGGCCGCTCCTTGCATGTGATGAGGATGAGGAGGAGGAAGAGCCAGCTCTCAGGCTCCGGACTGCGGGATCCCCGCGGGGACCGCTGCCTCCCGAGCTTTTGGGGGGTGATGCTGGGGCTGGCAGCGGCTGGGACAGCCCCGGCGAGTCCCCTCCTGCTCCCTCGGAGGGTTCAGGGGGGATCGGTTCGTTGTTTCTTTGTTTGCAGCCGGCTTTGGTGCGGGAGGGAGGTCGGGAATCGGCGCCGCTGCCGCGCCGGGGATTTGCATGGGAAAGCCTCGGAAGGTGGGTGGATTTGGGGTGTGGGGAAAGGGAAGGTGGGAGCAGGGCCCGGAGTGGAGCGGGAGGCGCTGGGGAGACGCTGGAGACGCACAAATCCTCTGCGGGCAGCTGAGGGGCATCGCAGCGGGGCCGTGCCCGCTCCCAGCCTGTCCCGGGCGTCCTCAGGGAAAGCGGCCGCGGATCTCAGGGCACCGGGGGGCTGCGCCTGTCCCTGTCCCTGTCC